ATTCCCTTGATTATGAGCCTTTACTACGTGTTTACAGTAATCTAAAAAAACTCATTTCTAAGCTGTTTAGAGACTACCTACACTACATGTATATTTGAACTGAAACCTGTTTCAAAGATGGATTTTCCTCCTTAAATCTTCATATAAACTGAAACTTGTGTTGACTAGTAAATTTAAACGATTAACTAAATTTCCTTCTCAGCTTGCTGTCTCATATCTGCTGGTATCTAGACCTCAGCGCTGCACTTGCCCACAGTCATTCAGAAATTGGCCAATTCTTGTGTGGAAATCCATAAATCTCTGACATAATGAATGAATTAATCCTTGTTTCTCTATCACTGGTGAATTCTTGAATAAGTGCATTTATTTCATGATGTTTTCAGCATTATAATGGCTGTGAATGCTCCATATTTTCTAGAAGGAGTAAAGCTTACATATAACACCAGTTAGTAATCATTACAGTGGAAATGCAGTCAATTTTCTTTTTGCTAAATAACTCCAGTATTGACCCAGTAAATTCTTTATATATTAACACTTCAACGGTGCAGCGACTGGTAGCTCTATCTGTTAGCATTAGCATTTGCTCACAAACATACACTTTCTTCCATCAAACTGATGGATTGTCACAATTTCAATTAAGAAGATCAAATTACATTTTTATGAAACTTCCTCTGCACACGTATCATACTTTGCTTGTGACAGTCATGTGTTGAATTTTGTAAATGTGGGAGATTGTACTAATAAATAACATTGGATGAATTAAATTACAGCACACTATAACTGTAGTTTTTGCTTAGGATTGTAACCCGAGTGATGCATAAATTGTTAACGACACAAGACACACAACCTGAGGGGTAGAATTACCCGGGGCATAGTACTGGCCCCTTTCATTTCACAGGCCCTGTTCTTACCAGGCACATCACAGCCTGATGCTTGTGAGTGGTAACCGTTTCAATAAGGACAAGTTTTAAAGACAGGCCGTAATGTCGATACCGTCATTTGAGTCCCTCTGCTTAAAAGACGATGACAACTGTCCATCCCCAACTGATCTCGACAGCTTTGGCGATGAGTTTGACAAAGACTTGGAATCAGATGGTGAGCATATTAAATTCAATCATGGAATAATCCTTGAGGTTCTTGTTTAAATACTAAATAATTTAGTAGTCATTACTATAAATCTATACATTAGTTATATTAATTTATGACTTTTATAATATGCAGGAAATAAGATCAACAAGGAGATGGACACTGCTGAGGTGTACATGCAGGCCTGCAAGCTGGTAGGTGTGGTGCCGGTCTCTTACTTTATTCGAAACCTTGACTCTCCAGCTGTGACACTCTCCCACCATGGGCTCGGACCTTTGGGATGCAAGGCACTTGCTATTGCTTTAGTGGTATGTTTAAAATCTAAGAGCTGTTAATCAATGAGGCACTTTTAAATAGAAAACTGATGATCAGGTTTTATTTAGACTGATACGCAAATAAGCGCCCTGGCACTGGCAGACAATTCAATTCAAGCTGAGGGAGCCAAATACCTCATGGAGACGTTGAGGGCTAATTTCACCATTCAGCACCTGGTATGTAAGACTGCAGGTTGACCACTGGAGGGCACAAGTGTATTTCAGGTCTAAATCTGAGAGCTCTACATCAAGTTTGGTTTTAATAATACATTTTTTGCAGGATATATCCCACAACCATCTGAAATCTGCTGGGGCTGAGTATGTGGCTAAAATGTTGCTGGACAGCATTTCGTTAAAATCTGTGAAGCTTTCAGGTAATATGCACGGGACAATGCATTTAACTTGTCAGATGTTACGTGACAGATGACTGGCATCACAAACAGTCAGCTTACATTTGTTGTGTCGGGGTTGCCTTTTTCCTGACAGGTTAGTCGAGGTTAGTTTCTGATTGGTTTGTCTATTTAACAGCGATAATTATTGTGATCTTTTTTTTTCATTCCCTGCAGGGAATGGATTTACTGATGATGATGCTAAATATTTTGCAGATGCTCTGTCAGTAAGTTATCAGTTATGTCCTGCTTTTTCACACATAACAACCCATTTTAGTCATTTCTATATTCATAAATTGTTCTTTTGCTACTTGCACCTGTCACATATTGTTACATTCAGACCAATTCCAGGATAAAGGTACTGGATCTGAGCCATAATGAGTTTTGTGGAAAAGGAGGGGAGCATTTGGGACAGCTGCTGGGTATGGTAAAAGGTCTTAATAGGTCTAAGACTAGTTCTTAATAGCATTATAGATGTATTGTTTCACTGACTTGGCTTTCTTATTTCTACAGCAAACAATGAGGGCCTGGAGGTGCTGGACCTCAGCTGGAATCATCTAAGAATGAAAGGGGCTGTGGCTTTTTGCGCTGGGTTAAAAGTAGGGCTGATTAATAAAATTTGTTAGTTACTCTGTGTGCAGCATTTCATCACAGTCTTCCCATTTAGGTGAATATGATGTTAAAGCACCTTGACTTATCGTGGAACGGTTTTGGGAACGAAGGTGCTCTGGCAATGGGAGAAGCCCTCAAATTCAACACCACCCTGGTGCATCTCAACCTCAACAATAACCGCCTGACCAATGAAGGCGTCAGCATGCTGTGCAGGGGTCTTGAATTCAATGACACACTCAGAGTCCTGACGGTGGGTGGACGAAATTGCATTAGGGTCATGTATATCACAGTCATGGCTTCAAGTGAAATATTGGATGATGTCTTCTATTTCTTTAGTTGGCTTATAACTCTTTGACAGTAGAGGGCGCACTGGCTCTAGTCAACGTGGTGAAGAACTCACCTAAAACTGCCTTGGAGGAGATCAACATATGTGTGAGAGGCTGTGCATCCTGCTCTGCTCCATGTCATGACAGATTACCACAGGCTGTAGGGACAGTGCATGCACAAATCAAATTTACATATTGTTCTGCTGGCCTGTAGTTGGATTTATCCATGTGAATTGTTCTGGTGCAAATGTCCCAGTTCTTGAGTTATTGGTTGTAGAGATGTGTCTACATTTAATAGAAATTGACTTGTGATGCTCAAAGCACTCAAATAATACATCTGAAAAACCCACAGTTATGTTTCTTTCCGCAGATCAAGACCCAATTAGAGCCGAGCAATTCTTGAGCAATTCAGAGCAATTCTTGCACGACGTCCTTTTTTCTTTCTACCAAACGACATAATCTAATGTAGACATGCAGCTGGTTGATATTGCACCATAGCAGAAAGCATTATCAGCGTTTACATCCTGCCAAGCTGTCACAATCACCAGGCTCTCGTCATGGGTAAATGCACGCTTCCTTCTGTACAGTTATGCAGTCAGCAGGTGTTGTTTTATGGAGAAAAAATAGTAATGAAACTGCTCACAACCAGGTCATTTCTGGAAATATTCAGTGCCACTGAAACTGAGCAACTCTCATCTAAAAAGTTTATACAGAGAAACTGCACTACAGGCCAGATTTAAACATATGTAATTATGAGGGGAACTTTCTCTTTAAGCAACTCGTTTTTGCTCTGATTTCAGTTCAATTTTGTGTTCACATTAAGTCAAAGTTGTAATTTTTTCCTTTTTTGTGTGTGTGTGTGTGTGTGTGTATATCATGTTGTCTTTTATCTGAACAGAATGTGCTGGTAAATGAGCACTTTGTGCATCTATTGGAGGTGACGTGTCAGGAGCATCCTGGTCTGGATGTACAGTATGGAGGCGTAGGAGGCTTCATGGCTAAGAAGCCACCAAAACGTGTTGATCCAATGAAAGTCATTCAGGTCTGTCTCAGTTGGTCGAATGAGCATCTGACACATACTGCATGAATTTTATTGTGAAAATATACACAATATATCTTTATTTTTATTCTTTCTTTCTTTATTCAGAGTATATTTGCTGTTCTGATGTTTACTTATTTTGTTGGTCTGCATTTAATTATTGTCAAAATCACTTCTACCAATGCTTCTGAAGGATTATCTGGACCAACGGAAACTGCGGCTGTGGGATTTCTTTCGAAACATCGATAAAGATGGCATCATGAGAGTGTCTGTTACTGACTTCAGGAAAGCAGTTCAGGTTTTCCAAACAAACTGTGATACCGTATATGGAGCCGTGTAGAGTCAGTGCATTTCACTGAGAGTTTACTGTGATAAAGAGAGCAACTATGAAACTGATTCCCTTTTCCTCTTTTGTGTGAAACTGTAAGCAATCAAGCATTCCTTTGGACCGATACCAGATTGAGGAGCTGATTCAGAGACTTGATCGGGACAGGACAGGAATGGTGGACTACAGGTGAGCATTTCCCATACTGACTAAATATACTCACATCTGACGCTTCAATATCTACGTTACAAGGTGGAGCTTTGGCGTGTTAAAGCTTATCATTTTAACATTTTGATTGTTTTTATCTCTCGTTTACTGATAGTACAGCTGGGCATAGAGTGTCTTAGTTATGACCTGGGAATTTGCCCAGATCTTAAGTTCAACTGACCCTATCAAAACTAAGAGTAGCTGAAAACCTCTTCGAGCCTGAAAAGTTCACTCACTTGCGGCAGAAGTCTATTTGACTGGTATATTAGGATGTTGGGTTGTCTCTCGCACTGGTAAAAGCTTTTTCCAAATATCCACAGATCTACTGTATATATAATTTACTACAGAAGTTGTTTTTTCTTTTTTGCAAATCTGCCTGAAAAGAAATCTGACCACATTTTTTAAGTAATCCTACTAACAGACAAACAGACAGACACACCAAACTAATCGCAGAAGCTCCACTGAAGTAGTGATAGTGTTATATATGTATAGTTATGTATAGCACAGACAGAATCATAAGCTAAGAATAACTTGTATGGGAACTTTTCTTCCACAGTTTGGATCAAAACACATGTTAAAGAAGTCCACGTAGCTCAACATGCAAACAGATGGTAAACCATGTGGTCCATACATTCCTATTTTTATATAGGTGTTTTATAAACTACATGAAAAGTAATGATCATAGGTGTAAGAAAAAGCTAACCCTTAAGCAGACCACAGATTCAGCCATCCTGACAGGCTGAGGGAGGTTGCACCAACGTTTAGAAGCTACAGTCTCAAAAACATGATCGCCTCTAGATTTAAATATGAGCATAAAATATATAAATATGACAATTATAAGACCCTGATCATATGATCAGGGAGGTTACTGCTGGAATAAGGTTAAAGCAGATCCTCATGCATACAGAAGCCTGGGTAAGATGGGCTTTATACTGTATGTAATTCATCTGGGGTACCTAGTGAACGTGCAAAAATTCCACACACAGGTGGGTTCAAACTAGGACCATCATGCAGTGTTAACCACTGCCTCATTGTTCTGCCACACTGCACATAGATAAATACTAACATTTTGAAATTAACTCTAACTCAGCCAGTGGAATGAGAAGCTGTCGAGATTGAAATTGAGAGAATATTAAGGACACCCAAGCAGTAATTGTAGTGACGTTGTTAGTGAGGTAGGAGAGGCTGTTCAAGTTGTTAGGCTTCACAGAAAAGTGCAGTTGTGGAGAGACAGGTAGATAATTGGTTGGCGTATGAATCTAAAAGCAGTCAGTGATGTTTATACTATAATCTGACCATTCTGTGCAGGGGACTGGCAGATACAAGGAAACAAATGATGAGGGATCACCGCCGCCAGCTTAGGAAATTTGAGTCCCGTCAGAAGAAAGAGAAGCAGAAGAGTGACCGCATTCTCAAAACCTTCCAAAGTGCTGTGGAGGCGGTGACACCTCACAGCTCCATAGTCATGTCTCCAGGAGGTGCCAAAGAAGACTCGAGTGGCCCGCAACACTTTTCCGCCACCCCTCTCAGCTCTTGGCACCACATTGTCATGTCCAACAGCAGCCGCTACTCTGTCACTAACATGAGCAACATCCACCTGCCCATGTTAAGAGGCGCCACGCCTTACCGTCCCACCAGCTCCTCCGGGATGCGTTCGTACTCCCAGCCAAACCTGTCGGCCGATTCCCCTCGCTCTGCTCCAGACAAGTCCATCTCTGCTCAGGGCGTTCGCTCAGATCCAGAGATGAGCCACAGCAAGCTAAGCCCCACTGCTAACAGCCTGACGAGATCCAGGCCCGCTCTCAATGTAAAGCAGTCAGAGGGTAAAAGTAAAGTCAAAGCCAAGAAAATGAAGAAAAAGAAACCGAAGAAGAATGCAGACGAAGCTTCAAAGAACCCTGCAGTAACGGTCAAGTGACATGAACACTGTATAATGCTGTATTACGTGATATATTATACATGTGATTTGTTTTTCCCTTGGTTATTATGTCATGCAATATTTTTAAAAGAATAAATAACACATTTGATTATCAATCTTATCTAAAAAATCTATATTTGTTGCTTTAATAAGTTATCAGCGGTCATGTCTTTGCCACCTTGCAGTTAACGACACTGAGTGGGACGGGCCTTCTTCAGAAGCATAATATTTCATCATGGTATTCGGGAATGGTGTTCTCATGCGAGCCCACACTCTTGAGGATAATTGTAAACAAACATCTGACGTTAATTTCTGTTTGCTGTAGATAAGAACGAGCATTATATCCTGGCATGTTCCTCAACTAATAATTCTGTGAACTGAGACAGGTGCTGCGTCCTCTGATATGATGGAGGAGGATCTATAAATTCAAATGATCCACCTATCTCAGTCATAACCACTCTGACTGCAGCAGAATGATCGTCACTCTGTATTTCTCAGCACTGCTGAGCTCCACGGTTGCCTGGGAGGTACGCATGGCATGACGTAGATCAAGCGATTCATCTTTATTCTTTAAAGCTCCGTACACATTTAGGTGAGACGACTTCTTCCATCTAACTCTTTTTTAGGGAGTGAGGAGCGTGTGGAGTGAAGGGAATCCAAGAAATGAGTCCGGAGGTGGAGGTGGTGAAAGGTGCTCCTGTGACGCCTTCCTGCCCGGTTCAACTTTTCCTGTAGGTGATCTGGTGGTGATAGAGCAGACGGCAGTGGAGATCTCACATGAACTGGAGCTGGAAATGGGCAAGGTATTTAGTCACAAGGGAACGTGTGCATTAAAAGATTGCATAATTGTGACAAAAAACATTTTTGAATGTTTTTTTCCCAATTAAATTTCAGCTGGGGGAATATGAAATCAAAGTGACAGAATATGAAGAAAAGATCGTAAAACTCACAGCAAAAATTGAAAAAATGGAGGAGAATCCTGATGGCTACAGTGAAAGTGAACGGAATGAGATAAAGATTGAGATTAAACAAGTGGAGGCCTTGATTGTAGACCTGCAGCTCTCCATCAACGGCTCCACTGCTGTCCTTAAATCCCTGCGTGTGCAGGTATGTCCCGAGCTGAAGGTGTTTTAAAAGCCAGCAGAAGCAGTGGAGATCCATTGTGTTATCTTTCAGATTACAGTCATGGTGGAGACCCTGAACAGGCTGGAAAAGACCTACGACAAGAATTTAATTCTGGTGACACGCCGAGAATACCTTAAGGTGCAGCTGCAACTAGAGGAGTGTGAGAGACGTCACCAGGAGCTTTTCTACCCCAACATTGGTAAGCTCACTTATACCATCATTGCAGTTGTAATCCCTGTTTTTGTGATTACAACCTAATTTTCGTCTCCTTCTGCAGGTTCATGTGCACACACTGGTATCACCAAGCTCAGCAAACCCATAGTAAGCCAACTGAATGCTCATCTAAATGCTGGCTACAAATTTGGTGGATGGGGGAAAGATTCAAAACCTATTCCAGACAGAGAGTCCATGTACTGGTACTCTGGGTATACAAGTGCCTCCATTATTGACATCAGGTTCTACACTAACTACAAGAACCTCATTTTAAGAAACCACTTTCAGCATCACAGCTTACAAACCAGCTGGCGTGGCACAGGAACCAATTTTATCTTCCGTGACAACACTCTGTATTATCAGATCAACAGCCCGTTTGGGTTAGCCAAACTGAATTTCACCACAATGGCATATGAGTCCAGGGTGATCCCCAAGGCTAGTTCAGGCTTCTCTTATGCATACTTTCCCAGTCAGAACTTTGACTTTGCTGCCGATGAGACGGGGCTGTGGGTGACCTATGCCACACAGCAGTCTGCCGGTCGGATGGTCATTGCTAAAATAAACGAGGCGTCTTTTGGGATAGAGGAGGAAATGGAGACTAGTATCTACAAGCCGGGTGTGAGCAATGCCTTCATGGTTTGTGGCACTTTGTATGCGGTCAGGACAATCGATACCATCACTGAAGAGATATTTTACAAGTACGACACTAAAACCAAAGAGGAAACTTACATCAGTATTCCCTTTGAGAGGTTCCAAGAGAAGTACTCAAACCTGCACTACAATCCCGCTGACCAGAAGCTCTACATGTACAATGATGGCTACTATGTCCAGTATCACCTGTGGTTTAACCACACAGCTGTGGCTACGACCACCACGGCGCCACAAGTTCTTTTAACCTAAATTGAAGATCTGATATTTTCTGAAGTATCACATCATATGAATGAGCCAACTATTGTCTCATCTTGTCGAGTAATGACCTCCTAATCCTTCTTGATTGTAAATAAATGATTTCAAGCATCACACAAGTGTCATGAGTGTCTTTTTTTGTGAACTTTGAAAACTAAAACAGAATTAAAATAAAAATGGTTCTTAATTGTACCTTCAAACACTTCTATTCTACTGTAGAGGTAATATCTGTTTGCTAACTATTAATACAATATTTGTAATTATTATAACTTCCCTGACAAATCATTGATAGGCATGTCTACAAGAGTGTGAGTCCACGGTTTCAAAACCTATATTTTTATTGTAACACCTGTACTCATTTTCCTAAGTCTTGCCTCAGATGTTTGCCCTCTATTCAGTAAAATTTAAAAAGATTAAAAACAAACAAACAAACAAACAAACAAAAACTAACACTGAAACTGATCCAAACTCAACTAAACATTTTCCCACAATAAAAATGAAACTCAACCGTGGAAATCCACCCTGGAAATTGAAATTATGCAGAATTAGAAACAAAATGTCAAAATGAAATAAAAATAAAACTTACTTGAACATACAAAACTATAACATCTGTGTTGACTGCAGTCATAAATGATCTAACTGACCCACTGTATGCATGTCTGCATTTAAAGTGCAATGGAATAATCATCCTGTATGTGCAGTAACTTGACTAAAAACTGCTACAGTCAGAGAATACATCCTACCCCATTTCCAATGATGATTCCTACACCGACTCCTCTCCCACGCCTCATCCCCAATTTGCAAACCCAGCTCCTCCCATGCATTCTTCACAAAGTCAGATTTAGAATTCAAATACTCTGGAAAAACATTCACAAAACCAGAAACCAACTTGTTAGAGTTCGGGGAGCCCAGAAGGAGCTTAAAAATTGGTCCCCCCTTCTGGAAGAGATGGAAAGTTTAAAATACTCTGACGAACATAGTTTCTTATCTGTAAATATCGAAAAAATGTGACTCAGGGAGAGAGAACTTCTTCTGCAATTGGGTAAATGAGACACCCAACACAGGGTTCTATTCCTGCATATAACAAACGTGATCCCACCTTGCACTGAACTTTATTGTGTTTACAAAATAAACTAGAGGGCATTCTTAGGCATATATGGGATGAAGACATTCAGACTTGATACCACATAAAAAAAGATCAATATTTCTCACACCTGGTATTGTTTCACCCCTTGAGTCTTTGTGCAAGTCCATGTTTGAATCTCATCATGAAATCAAGTCGTCTCAAAACTTTACAGGTGTGAACGCCAAGTCTGAAGGTTGTTCAAGAACTCATTAGAATTGTCATTGCAAGATTGTCCCTCAGTGTTTTTCAGTTTTTCTAATATGACAAATAGCAGGGTGGGGTTTTTTTTTGTGAAAACATATTTAAGAGTTCAAAAATATGTGAAATACATAAACAAACAAACAAATAAATAAATACAAGCCCCATAAATATGTTTGTGTGTCAAAGCAAGAAAGTAGGAAATCATTTAGTTCATATAGTGAACTAGTTCACAGGTGAGGCGCTACCACACACTAACAGGCAAAATCTCCCATAGCTGTCCAACAGAAAAAGACCTTAATGAGGTCAAACACATTGTTACAGAAAAAAAAACTAAATCCAAAGTGCTTCAGTTACTTGAAATTCTTTCTTTGAGTGACGTGATCATGTCTGATATAGAAAATACTTTTGGTAGACTTGGTACATTTGGTAACTGTAAAGCCCAAATTGACTGATTCGCACATACTTCATCTAATGATCCAGTGAGTCCTTCTGCCCTCAGAGGTTTGTGTCATGAGAGCAGTGGCTTTATCACTTGTCTCTGCTCGTTTACAGTCTTCAATTACTGCCTTCTTTATTGATTTTCAATCACTCACAGTCAGCTTTTCACAAGAAAATGCATTGGAGTATCATCTGCCTTTTATTAATACATTTAAACTCTAATGCTATTTAATGAGGAAATCTTTAAAGCAGCATTTTGATTCAGATAGGTTTGTCAAACATAGTGATTTTATTGAGCTGAGTCAGCATTTTATTCAAAGTTCCTTGTGGCAAATCGCTTCGTTTCCACAAACTACGGTGTTCAAAAACTCCACCCAAGTCACTTGCACTTACTGGCATAGATGGAGAAGTATACGTTGCTCCATTTTAATGGACTTGTGACTTCACACTTTTAGGACGATGTCCTAAAAAACCTTTATGACTTACAGCAATCTACTCCTAAAAAAAGTTGTGTTTGCCTTTGTGCAAACAGGACTCAGGATCATAGAATGAATACTTGTCCAAATTGTCAGGTCATAAACATAACAACACGGCAGCAACACATGCTGTGCTTCTCATCCGCACCCCACATTTGTATTAAACGTGACGTGGCGGATTCCTCTGTGCTTGTCATAAGCAAACAAATACAATGCCTGAGTGTATGTTGGACTAAGATAATAAATTTGTGAAGAGAGAAGGTGTTTGAGATGGTCTGATAAGAGCTACCTTTAAAAACACTCTGAGAAAGCCACAGAGAAAACCTTTGAGAGATGAACAGAGACATAATGTTGCCAGCTCTTCTGCTGCTGCTCCTGCCAGCCCTCAGCCCTGTTTTGGCCTGGATTGTAAGTGCCTTTACTTTTCTAATAAAGCATGCAGGCACAGTGATTAGTTATGTCTTTTGAATGTTTTTTTTTTTTTTTTTTTTTTTTTATTTTAGCCAGTGGAGGAC